TGTATTTCTTTGACCAGATCAACCACATACTTTTTTTTTTTTTTAAATAGGTAATGGAATATTATTACTGGAGGCTAATTTTACATGATTTAATTTACAAAACCAACCATATCACATCCTTACTCATCCAGTGAGTAGGACAAAACCAGCTACTATATACATCCTTATGAAGCAAAACCAATAGCTGGTGAGGAGGGCAATAAGCCCACTAATTAGGACACGTGCCTTTTAAAGTTGCTTTAGCCACCCAGTCTGCAACTAAATTAGCTTGTCTAGAAATGTGTTGCAAAGAGAGCCACGGACTGGAAGACAACTTGTCCTTGATCTCTGATATGGTAGAGCTGATCTCCCATGGTATCTTGCTTAGTTTCCCATGTACCGAGTCCACTACTAATTTACAATCCGACTCAAAAACAGCATGACTAATATTCAAGGATTGAGCAAAGCAAATTGCAAAAAGCAAGGCACAGGCTTTTTTTTTTAACAACAAAAATTAATATTTATCAATAACCGGAGTACAAAGGTACCCAAACTTATACATCATACTTGACAGGTATCAAATTAAATGTTTTGGACGCCTGCCATATAGTGTCGACACCCAAAATATGTGTCAACACCACTTCCGTGTTGGAGTTTTGGATGTTGACCATATGGTGTCGACACCAAAAGTACGTGTCGAACTATACTCGTGTCGAGCTTCTGTCTACTTTTGCAATTTCTTCATAAATCACTATTCAGATCCACAAAACCTTCCCATTTGTCAAACCCACTGGCATGCAAAGTCATTGAGCATGCATTGATTACAACTTAAATAACCCCATAGATCAAGAACAACACTACAGTTAGTTAAATTCTCAAGGCACAGGCTTCCCCAACAGCAGGAGATAAAACAAGCCTCACAAATGAGCACCCTGAGATTAATTGACCAAGCTCATTACGACAAACCACCGCAATGGCAGCTCGATGACTATGTGGATCAAAAGCAGTGTCACAATTAAATTTATACCATCCAACTGAAGGTTTTTGCCATTTTATATCAGATGATAATCTCAATCCAGCTAAGGATGGTATTTGCAGCCTGTCATG